AACTTGTGCCACAGTTAGACCTTCTGAGCTTTTAAAGTAAAGTTATCACCATTAAATTTTCTCAAAAACCTTCACAGGACAAACTTTGAAACCAGCAGAAGCACCGCAAAGTCGATACGGTCACCTTTATATTCAGATATTGTGCCAGTGAAGAGACACAAACATTTTACCATTTTCTTTATAGCTATCAAAAGTCATATCAGCTCTTACCATCTGTCATTTGCTGTGTGCTGCTGAATTTAGATAATCACAAAGGAGTTTTCACATTCAAAGTTCTGAGGAAATCTGACCAATGAGTTCAAGCTCGCTCTGTCTTCATTATTATTGTTTTAGCACTTATTTATTTTAAATGAGGGTGTAAACATTCAGTGCAGATGGCCTCTTCCACCYCCCCACTGAGAGGGAAGCTGTTTCTTTTGCTTCATGTGGGACCTTCACCAGCCTGGGGTATGGAGGAGTCCTTGAGGTGGTTGCCAAACGAGACTCCAAGCCTTCAGGCACACTTGGATCTTTTCACTTTTAAGTAAGGCCATCATTAAAACATGAGCAGACATAATTGCATCATAGCACTGGGCAGAATTACAGGCAAGTCTGGATGTCCTTAAGCACCAGGATTTGTAATATGTTTGCCTGATATTCATTGCCTTCTTTCTTCAGSTCTCCAACACCAGAATCAGAGATTTCAGCCTTGTTTTCAGAACAATAAAGTTGGTTTATAGGGGCTGTAGTGGGATGCTCTACAAAGCTGAGAATACCCAGAAGACCCCATTATGAAACCACCACGTTTAATTTTAGGCTTATATACCCAAATGAAAGTATTATAATGAAAGCAACCCCTTTCATAGGTGTGGAGCAGACCAAAAATGAAACCATTTCAGTGTGAGCTCAATTAGCCTGGAAAACCAGGCAGCTAAATTTGACTTTCAGGAAACACATTTGAATGCTTTGCCATTAATCTTCTSCCTGTCATGTCTGATTTAAATGTAAAATCAGATTTTCTCCCAAACTTGAAACTTACTTTCATCAGCAAAGGGAAATTATCCAACTTTCTTGGATTTTTCAAAGACTTTAACTTGTAGAGAAATAGAGACCACCAAAATTAGAGCAAGGGGAATTACTGATAGAAATGTAAGATAAAGTAGAAGATAATATCTCTCAGCCTTTTTATGCTCATTACCTAAAGTGAGCCTAATAAAATACACCCTCACAGGAGCTTGGCAAGAAGAGCTGGTTAGAAATTTTCTATAAAATGGTTTCTCTTAATAAGCTTCATGGGGAAATTAATAGGCTCTGCATATCCCCATCTGTGGAGAAGAATATATTCATCAGAAACTGAAAGAAGAGTTGCCACGAGACTCTGCAGCATCATTTSACTAAAAAGAGTTGGCTTTTAATAAGAAACACTAGGCTATGTTTGTGATAGCTGCCAGATTTAATGATTACTGGTAACTAAGGGCCTAAACTGTAAAGGAAATACACTCCTTACTTACTAAAAAAAAAATCCTTTTCCTATGAGCATTAGTTTTCAAACCAGAAGTTTCTGCTATGTTTTTTTTTTCCAAACCAGAGGTTCTACTCTGTATAAAATATCTTGGTGTTTTTAAGTAAGCTGTATGTCTGAGCTTCCTTCCAATCAATGAAGACCTAGGGCAAGATATAGCTGAGCTTTTTGGGGCACTATTAGGTATTCCATCAGTGCATTGCTGCTTTAAAAGGATCTTGTTCCCCTCTAACCCCTTTTTATTATTACCTGTTCACATGACATAGATATCTAGGTACCACAGAACATCTCAAAGAATACCCAAATCCCATTTTTATTTAGGATGGAGCTCTCAGTGTGGCCAGGAGAGTGGCACAGCTCACCATAAAGGAGATACATCCATTTAATGTGCTAAATCATTCTCCAGACTTCTCTCACTGTGTTGAATAAAAAATTTGAGATACTCAAGGGTAACCYGCCCAGTGTTAAAACATCTAAAGCAGGCTGGACTTCAGACCTATACCATATCTATCAAATCTGAGATGTCTGTCAGGGAACATCTCAAATCACTGCAGATTCTTAGAGACAGAAAAACATTAACTCCTCTTTGTTAGTAATGGGAGCTTGGCACCATTGATGTTTACACCCACAAGTTGACACCTACACTTAATAACAGGTACCTTAATAACAAGTTTTGTCCCATTCTGGTATTTTCTACAGTCTTCTTCAGCATTGTTTGTTCAGGATAAAGTTTGTTCCTACAGATCATTTCTGAGACAATGTCTGTAAGTTTTCAAGGTAGTATTCCCRCCTTACTCTTCAGGTTGTTTTGACCTATCAAATGAACACAGTATTACTGCTTTTGTTCACAAATTGAAAGAGAAAAAGGTGGTAGGCCAGAAAGTTTCTTTTCCGCTTAATCCTTTGTTAAACTTAGTATTTACTTGACCTTATCAGTATCTACAACTCCCTGAAAGGAGGCTGTAGCCAGGTGGGGTTGGTCTTTWTTCCCAGGTAAGAAGTGATAGGACAAGAGGAAACAACCTTGAATTGAGGCMGGAGAGGTTTAGACTGGATATTAGGAAAAKCTTAACTGAAAGGGTGGTCAGGTATTGGAACAGGCTGCCCAGGGAAGTGGTGAGTTACCATTCCTGAAAGTGTTCAAAACACACATGAATTTGACTTTTGGGGACATGGTTTAGTGGTGGGCTTGGCAGTSCTGAGTTAGTGGTTGGACTTGGTGATCTTGGTGTTATTTTCCAGCCTAAATTATTCCTAACCTRTGATTGTATGATTTGCATCTACTGGAAATGAATGAACGAATGCAGATATTGCCAGTTTCTAAAATACATAAACTAGTTCCTTTAACTGGCAAGATGATAAAAATTTGTACATTCTCAGTGTAGTCCGTTCCCAAATCAGGACGCAAAAGATCATACAAGCAGTGTAAAAATCATGCGGTATTATAACTAGTAATGATAACTTTAATTTCCTTTTTCTTGCTTACTCTTATTGTGCATTCCATCACATTCTCATTTCYCTGGAGTTCTGAAGACCAGAAATTATGATAAAATGCAATACAAAATCATTAAATCACCTGACTCCTAAAGTCACTTGAAAGGGCTTAAAGTACTCAGATAYATGCTACTGCTGGTCCAGTTTTTACAACTATTTAAAATGTGACTTTTACAACTATTAAAAACGTGACAATCATGATGATGATTTTTATATTTCTGGCATGCCAGGCATTCCTAAAAAGAAAATGAAATTAAACTGAGGTGTGTTTACCTCTTTTTAATGCTATRTTATAAAGATCCAGCTATTTCTGCAAGTCCAAACTTCAAGAGTTCAAACTTTATGTTGTATTATTAATTGATGTCTGCAAAATATTKCTTGTGAATATTTAATTATCACTTTCCTCACATTACTAACAGGGGATAAATATAAATTCCTGCTTTGAAAAGTGCCTGGAGACTGATGGATAAACATTCTAAATGCAAGTTATTTGTTAATAGCCTTTTGGAGACCTTTTATAAAATGCTATGCCACTCCCAATCTGGAATGCAGACATATTTCCATATTCAACACTCATTTTGGTTAAAATTCACACATCTTTTGTGTCTTACCAGCTTTCCTATCAAAAGGGTCTTCCATGTCTAGCAGACAGAAAAGTCACCAAAAATAATATCTTGAAACCTTTCCCATGTGGTTTTTTTTGATATAGCATCATATCAGTTATCCWTGTCCCATAAAACCTCTTTCCTCTTAGTCACTGCATTTCCACATTTTTCTAAAAGACCTGGGAAGAATGAGAAGCCAAAGTGCAGAGGAGACAGGTGAAGGTGAGGAGGCACTGGCACAGGTTGACCAGAGAAGCYGTGGCTGCCCCTGGATCCCTGGAAGTGTCCAAGGCCAGGCTGGATGGGGCTTGGAGCAATCTGGGATAGTGGAAGGTGTCCCTGTCCATGGCAGTAGGATGGATGGAATGGAATGATCTTTCAAGTCCCTTCCAACGTAAACCTGTGTTCTGTAATTCTGTGATCTTCACAGAGATGGCACCCAAGAGATAAGACCCATGGAAAAATTTGGATCTGCAGGCAGAAGCCAGGAACGACAAGAAAATTTCAGTGTTGCAAAACAACCCTTTATTTACATGAAAGGTACAACAGGATGAATCTGTRCCATTAAATTCAACACTACCAGGGAAACATTGTTGGAATTGGGTTTTTTGGTTTGTTTTTTTTCTGCTAATTATTTTGGATTGGCCATTAATTCAGCCTGCCTAAGCCAGACCTTTGTGAAACATTTTCCAGCCATTGCCTGGGTGTGAGTATTGGCCAAGGGTGTTGGTTGGGGTCTGTTCCCAACAGACACTCCAGATCTCACTCTGTTGGATGGTTCAGAAGTTGAGCAGCACAGATATRGCCAAACCATGTCAATTGTGCTGAGGGTTGGGGCTGATATCTTCGACATTGTTGAATTTTCCGGTACAGATGCAATCACACCTTCGTGTAGAATAACCAGGTAGTGTTTAAGAGCTATAAATCATAGAATCGTTAAGGTTGGAAAAGACCTCCAAGATCATCAARCCAAGAATGATCTAGAATTGTGAATAAACCACTCAGAATTCCTTTTATTTACCTGAGAAGGAGGAGCCAGGCTTTCTGTCACTGGAAAATTAACAATGCTGGAGAGCCAAGGGCATGGTTTCTGTCTTGGCTTCTCTGAAGTCAACATTCCTGTGTCAGTCTGCACTTGCTGAGGGTCTTCCCGTGGTGTTTCAGAACTGAGGCTCCACCAAAAACAACCTTTGAAGCTGTATGCAGTCTGCTCTTTGGCTCTATTYCTTTCTTTTCTGTTTCTCCCACAGGTAATAAATAGTTTAGGGAGCAAATCTTGAATTTCTCTACACAAAATGAGTGTACTGTAAACTCCTCGCTGTTTGTGAGTGCATTGATATTTATGTGCGTGTGTGTATTTCTTTCCTTTTTTTTCTCCCCCATCTCCTTCCCATTTGTAGTTTGATCACTCATGGTTTTGGAACTCCTGCAATATGTGCTGCCCTAAGCACTTTCCAAACTGTTCTCAGTGAAATGCTGAACTACTTGGAAAAGCACACATCGCACAAAAACGGAGGAGCGGCGGAATCCGGCCAAGGACACGCCAACTCGGAGAAAGCCCCCCTGCGGAAAACTTCAGAGGCTGCTGTGAAAGAGGGCAAAACAGAAAAGACAGACTAGCTACATCAAACAGAATCTATTTCGAGAGAGTCTTGCTGCTGATATTTTTTTTAAATATATATATCATTGAGGGCAATTTATCTCCAGTGGACCAAATCCA